CCGAGTACCAAGTACCCTGTGTGTGCATGTGGGCCGGGTGATGTGTAAGGCCCGAGTACCCTGTGTGTGCATGTGGGCCGGGTGATGTGTAAGGCCCGAGTACCCTGTGTGTGCACGTGGGCCGGGTGATGTGTAAGGCCCGAGTACCCTGTGTGTGCATGTGGGCCGGGTGATGTGTAAGGCCCGAGTCAGCTGTAGACTTCATCACTCTGCTGCCACAACCACAGGTCGACCCCAGGGGAACAGAGAGAGCGGGCGGGGGAGACCACCCCCATTGCTGCCTTGGAGGGCGACCGCTTAGGAAAACGCCTAAGGAGGAAGAGAAAGATGTACATGGACTCGGGCGACGAGGAGGAGGAAAACCTGGAGGAGGAGGAGGTGAGTCATGTGCTCACTATACAGCAAAATGGCAATATTTAGTCAAAATGAGAAAAAGCACAATACTATTGTATTTAATACTTCTATAATGATCTGCATCTCCATGTGGGTTAGTGTGCTTACAGTTGACTTTGCTCATGGGAGTTTTACTTGCACAGAATTGTTTTGAGGGCAGAATGAAAAATGATTGGTTCAGAGAGAACCAATCAAACTGGTTGGACCCACCTCTTCTGCAGTCAGATCTTGGTTGCAGCTCCTCTAGTTGCTTGGACCCACCTACACTACAGTCTGATTGGCTATCTCCCTGAACTAATAATAATTTTTTGTTCTACTCTCAGATCAGTTTTATGTAAGTAAAACTACTATGAGCATTAAGTTGCAGTTAAGTTCTTGAGCTCCAGCTCGAAAACTCCTAAGGTCGCCATGGAGACGGGCCATGTGATGGGTGCCCTGTGCTGTGTTACAGGAGAAGACTAAGGCATGCAAAGGCAGGAGGGCGGCCAAGCTCGCCCGGCTGGGTGGGTGTCTCTTCCGAGCGGCTTCCCGACCGACGGGCACGGTTTTAGGGAGCCGTCCCAGCATGCAGTGCGTGGTAAACAAGGCCGGATGTTACAGGGACAGCCGCTGGGGGCTGGTGTGTCCTCCCATGGCCGTCACGTGACGGCGTGTCTGTCTGTCCTGTCCCCCCCCACCCCCCTCTTCAGTGACCGCCCTGCCTTCGAAGAAGAAGGCGTGGAGCTGGTCAGCATACTTGGAGGAGGAGAGGGCAATTGCTGCCCCTGCCAAACTCTTCAAGGAGGTCAGTGGGGGGGTGTATTTTGGGGGGGGGGGGTATATTCATTCACAGGGCTGGATCCAGGCTTCTGCAAACTCGGCAGTTGCGCAGATCATGATCACCATGGAATGGATTAATGTCATGCAGTCATGTTACATATTTGTAGTTTGTTTTTTTTATTTATATATATAAAAATGATAGATTATAGATAAACGGCGAATGTTAAGGTGTGCGCCGGCCAAGTGAACATTTTTGATAAGTGTTTAATAGTTCAGTGTTGCTGGAACACGAGCTTTACTGACCTCGCGAAATTTCTCAAAGACCGGGACGTTTGAGCTACCGGCGCCTCCTATAGGGTGAAGATGCTTCGCCAGGTTCGACGTGCTACTTGACTTCATCGCCACAACTCCGTAGCGCTGTTAGCATAGAGGCTTATCGACATCCTTAGCCTTTCCATGCTCGTCTGCAAAATACTTTCGCGTTTTTTTTTTTACACTAAAGCAGCTTGCAAAGTGCCTTCAATTGCAGCATATGCTATGTTCGACCAACTTGGTATGTGTGTGTTAACCATCGTGAATGTGTTCAGCGGGTATTGAGAGGAGGGGAGGGGCTGCGCGAGTGTGCGCGTGCACGTGCGCCTGCGCTGTAGTGCCGCTGTGTGAAGTATGGCGAATGAGGCGAAAACTGCACTGTTGGTATCAATAATGGTGAAAATTAGTTATTGAAATCATTTTTAATATCGATTAGTATCTGAGAATCGACTTTTGACAACCCCAGTGTCTCATTATTTTCAATTGCAGCGTCAGCTATATCTTCCGTTTCTGATCTTTCGCGGTACATTTTCGTGGCGCAGCAGTGAGAAAGGTCCCCCCTTAAACCAGCTTCCAGCTGTGCCACTTTCCGAACGTTGTGTAGGGTATTTAAGCCGGTACTGCGGTATAAGGAAAAAAATCATATATACGAATAACAAAAACCGGTTTCTGGTATGAACCAGTATACCGCCCAACACTTATTTTTTACAGGCACACACACACACACACACACACACACACACACACACACACACACACACACACACACACACATATATATATATATATATATATATATATATATATATATATATATATATATATATATATATATAATAAGAATAATTGCATAATTAAAAAATGTGAGTGATATTTTAATGGCACTAATTGGCTAGTAATAGGCTACTCTCTGGTTTCCGTGACGACTGGCCGTGTTCGTGTTTCTCCTCTCTAGCACCAGTCATTTCCTCAGAGTCGCAACGGCTTCAAGGTGGGCATGAAACTGGAGGGCTTGGACCCCAGCCACCCGTCACTCTTCTGTGTGCTGACCGTTGCCGAGGTAACGCTGCACCCCGTCCCGAATTTATGTACTGATGGGGTTCTTCGTGCGCCAGAGGGATCAGAGAGTTGGGAGACCCCATTTTTCGTTTCCTCTGGCCTCTGCTGCAGTAGCTATGGTAACGTCATGGTGGCATGGCAGCAGATGACCTTAACCTGTCTCCCCCCCGAAGGTCCAGGGCTACAGGATACGACTCCACTTCGATGGCTACCCAGAGTGCTATGACTTCTGGGTAAATGCGGACTCCTGGGACGTGAAACCGGCAGGCTGGTGCGAGAAGACCGGGCACAGGCTGCTTCCCCCGAAAGGTGAGGGGCCCCCCGGTGGAGGAGGTATGCCTGGGTGCCCTCCGCTCCTGCCCTTCTGTGACCTGGACGTTCGATTCTCTTCAGGGTGCAGGGAAGGAGAGTTTAACTGGAGCACATATGTGAAGAACTGCAGAGGCCAGATCGCTCCCAAGAACCTTTTCAGGAGTCTGAATACGGTGAGTGTCTCCTGGGGCCACAGCTAGGGGCCACCGTTAGCGATACTTACCTGGCAGGGGAGATACCATGACCACGAAGGTGGTTCACCCAGGGTGAGGCCCAGCCATTGCACTGCGGCTGTTCTGAACCCTGCGAATTCCCCAAATGTGTGAATCTCGACTGCATAATTTCTGGTAGTGGGGGCCTGCGTTCATGCTATCCCCTGATTTGTTTTTTTTGGTGTCTTAATGGTTAGGGAAGCGTCATTTGAATCCCTGACCAAGTAAGGTACCACCCCCAAGCGCTGCCCCCTGCTATGTCACAATGTCACATATGGGTTAAATGCAGAGGACACATTTCGTCGTGTACTGTGGTGTGTCAACAATGACCACTGGTCATCTAATTCTACTGGGCTGCAGGTGGCACTGGATCTTCCTGCTGACTGCTCGCTGGCTGTGGAGAGCAGGTGTCACTAGTGGCGTTAGGNTATGTACAGACATAAGAGTCTGTGTCTATCTCCATCAACCACAATGATACCAATTGTGAATGTTGGGACAGAGATCATTTTCAGCAATACCTTACAAAATAAAAGAACCATCAGCTGGATGCTGGGAAGAGACTATCATGGGTAGTGTGGCCGAGCGGTCTGAGGCGCTGGATTAAGGCTCCAGTCTCTTTGGAGGCGTGGGTTCAAATCCCACCACAGCCAATTTGTTGTCGCTCATATGTACAGACATAAGAGTCTGTGTCTATCTCCATCAACCACAA